TTACTAAGTGATATGTAAATTTTGATACTAAATGTGTAACTAAGTGATATGTAAATTTTGATACTAAATGTGTAACTAAGTGATATGTAAATTTTGATACTAAATGTGTAACTAAGTGTTATGTAAATTTTGATACTAAATGTGTTACTAAGTGATATGTAAATTTTGATACTAAATGTGTAACTGAGTGATATGTAAATTTTTGATACTAAATGTGTAACTAAGTGTTATGTAAATTTTGATACTAAATGTGTCTTTTCTATTGGTTAAAATGTAAAAATATGAGCCAGTTGTTTTACAGTAAAAGTGTTTTGTCAAAATACGGCTCGATGATGAACATAGGGGGTGGGTTGGTAAGTTCAAACCCCTGCTTTCCTACTCTTATGCCTCAAAAGTACCCTTTTTCTTAGTCTTAAACAAATTTCCACAGCTAATAAAACACGTCTCATTTCACACCTTACTTGTTGCAAGTTAGGAAAAAAAAATCAACCTTACGATTAATGGCGGACAGAAACTTGTAGGTTTTTACAATAAAAAACATAATTGTGACAGGCTATTAAGTGTTCATACGCAATAATTCCCTGTTTAGTTTTAGATTGTAAAAGTGTTTATAAGACTGATTGAATATGAATAAAAGAAGATATGCTGGTTTCTACCCACATCCCCCCTCCCCATAGTCTCTGCTAACACTCCCCCCCTCAAAGTACTCATTGTTGTCAATGAGTTTCTGTCATTTTAATATCCTATTGGAATTAGCTGGATGATCCCATTGCAAATCGTAATCATTATTGACCTAGTATGATTACTGTAAGAACGAAAAACTATAATATTCTTATGTATCTTCTTACAAAACATATACACACTATATAGATATCTATAAACGTGGAAAGTTACTCCTTAATATACTTGATTTGACTCTTTGCTAAAGCAAATTTTATCGTCTGTTAACTAAAATTCCAAAGTCAGTCGTAAGCTTTATTGCTGTTGACAAACGTCTTGTTTAATTCAGGCTCGGACACTGTATCTTTTGAATGCCTTGCCCAAACATTCATTTTGGAACGACGACTGAACGAGCTTAAGTGTATTGAGAACTTTCCGTTCTTCCAATCAATTTGAAGGATTTCTGTTTCGTCAGCCGCGTGCTCCACAGAATCGCAAGTCCTTCAGGTTAATCACAGACTGTTTTGTCAGTGGAGTAATTCACGAACTTCACGCAGCTCTTTACTGCTTTTCAAACTCTTAAGTTTGAAAAAAAAAAAAGCTTGAAGAGCACTACAGTGAGAACGTTTTTGCCATGCATTAACAGAGAAGAATTTGCGCAGGCGTAAAAGGTATGGGAAATGAATCTCTTGCTAAGCTGAGGCTATTTGAAGAATGAAAGCCTTGAAAGATCAATAAGGAGTAAACTACAATAAAGTCGGTAGGATTTGAAGCAGATTAACCGCGCGGTTTTAATATCCTGCTTTGGACAGCCATGCGAGATTGAAAGGACACCTTAAGTTAGTCCTACGTAAAGAGAGACTTCCAACGGAGTCAATATAAATAAAATCCTACCTACGTGAACAAAAACTGATGGGTAACTTATGCTATACATCAGCATTTTTTCTCATATATGCTCACAAGTTGTGTGGAGTGTGACTTGGAGATGTATTTAGTACGTAAATGAAGATGCAATACGCTTCTTTAATAGCAAGTTGGAAAGTAGCCCCTGTAAAAATGTTTACCTTACTCAACACCTGTCGAATATTTCACTGTCATATAACAAAATGAATATGCAAGTGTGTACTTTGAATATAAATCAGACTGGAAAAATATGGTCGAGAAACAATATAATAGATAATTAAACAGGAAAACGTTAATACAAACACAGTGAAAGTCCAGAAAATATATACCATCCTAAAATTGCAGACCTAAAGCTTGGTTTGTATTGAATTTCGCGCAAAGCTACCCGAGGGCTATCTGCGCTAGCCATCCCTAACTTAGCAGTGAAAAACTAGAGGGAAGGCAGCTAGTATCACCATCAATCGTCAACACTTGGGCTACTCGTTTTACCATCGAATAGTGGGATTGACCGTCACATTATAATGCCCCCATGTCTGAAAGTGCAAGCATATTTTGTGGGACGCAGATTCGAACCTGTGACCCTCAGATTGCGAGTCAAACGCCCCTAACCACCTGGCCATGACAGGCCTCAAACCTAACGTAAAACCTATTATATCATAACACTTAGCAAACTAACTAATCTGAAATTTATAAAGAAATAATAAGTTTGGAGTTTGAACAAGCTACCTATATTGAACAAACTACCTATATACACCTTTAGCAATGGTGTTTGTTTGTTTTTGGAATTTCGCGCAAAGCTACTAGAGGTCTATCTGCACTCGTCGTCCCTAATGTAGAAGTGGTGGACTAGAGGGAAGGTAGCTAGTCAACACCATCCACCGTCAAACCTTAGGTTACTCTTTACCAACGAATATTGAGATTGACCGTCACATGATAACGCCTCCACGGCTGTAAGGACGAGCATGTTCGGTGAGGGAATTTGACCCACAGATTGTGAGTCGAACGCTCTAACCATCAAACATTCCATGCTAGGCCTTAACAATAAGAAACCGTGTTCTACAACACTATACATAACTCATCATCATTTACGAGAGTTTGTATAAACATTAAATATAACGTAACTACTAATGTACTTTCTGATTTTAATACAAGCTAATACTACCAGGGGTTAGGACGCATTACCCTAGTAGTCAACCAGGACAATACCCTAATAGTAAACCAGGACATTACCCTAATAGTAAACCAGGACATTACCCTAGTAGTAAACCAGGACATTACCCTGGTAATAAACCAAGACATTACCCTAGCAGTAAACCAAGACATTATCCTAGTAGTAAACCAGGACATTACCCTGGTAATAAACCAAGATATTACCCTAGCAGTAAACCAGGACATTACCCTAGTAGTAAACCAGGATATTACCATGGTAGTAAACCACGACATTACCCTAGTAGTAAACCAGGACATTACCCTGGTAATAAACCAAGATATTACCCTAGCAGTAAACCAGGACATTACCCTGGTAATAAACCAAGATATTACCCTAGCAGTAAACCAAGATATTACCCTAGCAGTAAATCAGGACATTACCCTAGTAGTAAACCAGGACATTACCATGGTAGTAAACCACGACATTACCCTAGTAGTAAACCAGGACATTACCCTAGTAGTAAACCAAGACATTACCCTTGTAGTAAACCAAGACATTACCCTAGCAGTAAACCAGGACATTACCCTTGTAGTAAACCAAGATATTACCCTAGCAGTAAACCAGGACATTACCCTTGTAGTAAACCAAGACATTACCCTAGCAGTAAACCAGGACATTTTTGTCGCTCTTATCTAGAGAGAATAAGGAAACACAAAAATACCAGATAAATCAGTCAAATGAATCTCCGAAACCCAATAACAATATTATTTTATTACAATCTAACAGTAAACGTATACCTGTCTCCACAATCTAACAGTAAACGTATACCTGTCTCCACAATCTAACAGTAAACGTTTACCTGTCTACACAATCTAACAGTAAACGTTTACCTGTCTCCACAATCTAACAGTAAACGTATACCTGTCTCCACAATCTAACAGTAAACGTTTACCTGTCTCCACAATCTAACAGTAAACGTTTACCTGTCTCCACAATCTAACAGTAAACGTATACCTGTCTCCACACTTTAACAATAAACGTTTACCTGTCTCCACAATCTAACAGTAAACGTTTACCTGTCTCCACAATCTAACAGTAAACGTATACCTGTCTCCACAATCTAACAGTAAACGTTTACCTGTCTCCACAATCTAACAGTAAACGTTTACCTGTCTCCACAATCTAACAGTAAACGTTTACCTGTCTTCACACTTTAACAATAAACGTTTACCTGTCTCCACACTTTAACAATAAACGTATACCAGTAAACATAAATCTGTCTCCACAAGTGATTACATTATAGATATAAACTCAGACTGAATTTAATGTTATTGTTATCAGAAACTAAAGGAACAAATCTACTTAAAATGTCGAAATGAACAAGGGTTCGATTCAGTAAACAAATAAAATAACAAGTAGTTTTTATAAGCTGAAAACCACTGGCAAAATATTTATATTACAACTGTAAGTACAAGTTTGATTACAATATGGACTCATACAGATTTTAATGATTTCTGATTGTTCCAACGAAAGTTACTTCCGAACCAACAATATTTTGATGTTGTCTTACCCGTATAATTGTGATCTCTTGGCCACTTTATTAGAAAGTATACCCAATAAAAAGTCGGGCCACATTTCAACTAAACCCTATTAATCGTAACTTTACTACTTGATATGTTACAGTTACGTAAAATGTTTTTTTATGGAACTAATTTTGGAATACTGTAACTGAAGCGGGGAAAAAATTTTAAGAAATTCAAATTGTTTTGTTCTTTTATTTATCGGGAAAATATGGAAGATCTAAAAAAGTGATGTGTGCCTTATTATATTAGTGTTTCTTCAGCAGCCGTGAGAAAAAAAATGTCCTTAATAATCTGTTAGTTGTTCATAATAAAACAATATTTAAGGATTTTACAGCAAATTTATAATATTGTGTAACAATTTGGAGTTTTTTAATAAATATAAATTAGAATACGTATTATTATACTACGTCATGTTATTTGTTTTGATAAAGCTAACGTTATTTTCCACTCAGAACTTCGAGTACCTCACTTTAGAGTTACTTGGGAGCAAGTTAGGTTAAATGAGGAATGAGGCCTTGGTGAAATTTTGTTGAGGTAATATTTTTGAGTGACGTAATACAAAATAATGTAATTACGCAGAGTTAGAGTTTAATTCATAAAGATTTCTTGAAGTTCCTTAATTAATAGTAAGTGATAAGGTAGAGATAGACCTAGAATTCACAATAGTAGTGTAAAATCAAGGCAGTTCTAAGGTGTTTAGTAAAGTTTTAGGGATAATAACGATGTCATCTAAAAGTTGAAAAGTAACACTGTTACTGACACCTTGAGGTGGTAATAATGTAAATTAATAAACTAATTTTCGGACTTATTAACAAAGCAATCCCCTTTTGAACTTCAGAACTTTTGTAACTATGGAAACCTTAAAAGTTCAAACTAGAAAATAGATTATTTTATTGACATTTAATTTGTCTCGGATTCAATTATCGTCATCACTCCAGTTTCCTATATTAAGGCTTAGTCTTTGTTTGGAGACAAATTGGAAAACGTTTCATAGTGGTTCGTTTTCTAATAGTTTTAATTTAATTCTTACAATAATACGGTTATAAAAACATATTTCATTATTATATTTGCATATCAGAGCAGTGGCAACAATTAATCAATTAATTTACGAGGTGAATACATTTAAAGAGCGGGAATCAGATAATACTATAATAACTAAATCCTAATCGGCAAGGATTTGCAAGAAAACAAGATTAGCTTAGTTTTGTTGCACACAGTCTTATTCCTCTCTAAGTGTAGTTTGTCGCTAATAGATGGAGAAAAGCATCAGTGGCTGAAGAGCAGTGCAGTTGTTATACTGGTGTCGTTTGTTTCTATTGAAATTAGAAATACGGAAACAGGGTTAAGGAACAACATTAAAAGCTCAGACATGTGGACTGCTTTGTTTTATTTATCATTGTTATAACGAAATGCGCTTTCTATTGGCATACCTCTATCAATCTTCTCCTTATCGGTGGCTTCCCTTAGCAAATGAAAATCATCTTGTGGAATAGCAAGTAAAAATCAATCAGATATCTAGTTTCAAGGTGTTTACCCTACAGATATCTAGTTTCAAGGTGTTTACCCTACAGATATCTAGTTTCAAGGTGTTTACCCTACAGATATCTAGTTTCAAGGTGTTTACCCTACAGATGTCTAGTTTCAAGGTGTTTACTCTACAGATATCTAGTTTCAAGGTGTTTACCCTACAGATATCTAGTTTCAAGGTGTTTAACCTAATAATTTAGATAAATCTGTTAAAGACAAAAATGTCAGTAATATTTATTAAAGCAAATATAGATCTAGTAAGGCTTAACAGATGTTCTAAAATGGCCCTATTTGTATCCGTGTATGAACAGTTATGTTGTTCGTATATAAATAGTTATATTCTACATCGTATTACTTCGGTCCCTGTAAGATAACTAACTCATTACAAGTATTTAAATGAAGTAATACGATGTAGAATATAACTATTTAAATACTTACAATGAGTTAGTTATCTTACAGGGACCGAAATAATACGATGTAGAATATAACTGGTCCCTGTAAGATAACTAACTCATTACAAGTATTTAAATAGTTATATTCTACATCGTATTACTTCGGTCCCTGTAAGATAACTAACTCATTACAAGTATTTAAATAGTTATATTCTACATCGTATTACTTCGGTCCCTGTAAGACAACTAACTAATTACAAGTATATAAATAGTTATATTCTACATCGTATTACTTCGGTCCCTGTAAGTTAACTATCTCATTACAAGTATTTAAATAGTTATATTCTACATCGTATTACTTCGGTCCCTGTAAGTTAACTAACTCATTGTAAGCATATAAATAGTTATTTTCTTATTTTTAACTCAAAAATTACATTTGTGAAACTGTGATACGCAAGATGTTTGACTTATTAAAAAATACTGCAAGTTTTCGCTTGATATTTCTAATTATGAATACCCCCCTCATGTCTCACAAAAGCTCAAATGTATCATTTAAGCTCCTACGTTATTTCTAACTATTTCCATAGCTACCCCAAGGGGGGTACTCCGTACCTTTAACAAAAGCTTAAGAGGCCCTCTCGTAGTACGTGAAATCGTGTACCAAGTTTGGTTTCGCTGACTTGGGAATGGGTTATATCGACACAACTTAAAAAGTAGCGCCCCTGGTATCTCGAGGGGGGGGACAGGAACAAAAAATTGATCATAGATTCGAAACCTGTTATTAAACCAAATTACACGCCATCCCCATTGATAGGAAAGTATAAACCATGTAAATAGAGCCACTCTCAGACCATCCCGAGTTTTCCTGCCAAGTTTGGTCCCGCTAGCACCAAGACTGTAGGGGGAGTGGACAAGGATGTATGCATGCAAGGGGGAGTGGACAAGGATGTATGCATAATAAACGACTATTGTTATTATTTTGTGGTTTTGATTCTAAAAACTTTGCTTCCTTGAAATATTGTTTAATATACAGATTGACTTATTTCTTAACAGAGTCCTGTCTAGACACTACTTCAATATTGATTTATTCAAAGCTTGTATTGTGCTTAATACATTTCTAATTTTTCATACCCTGGTAGTGACATCGTCATTTGCACGATACACGCACACAAGCACGCGCTGTAATCTTTGTAATACTGCTATTTCGCTAAGTGTGTTTAGTTGTAGTAGGGTTAGGCTCATGAGGTACCTTTAAGGCAATATGTCTTGCCTGATCCTTATCTACTTATGACCAGCAGTAATTAAATTCTCTAATGATTATATATTTAAGTTGTTCTGTCCTAGTTATTCGTATAACATTGTTTTCAATGTTTGGAAAAGCATTCATAATAGTACCTTAAGCCTCTTTTAGTCAGATATGTTCTTAAATTATATTACTTGCTAGTCAGCAGAAGATTGTAGCCTCCCAGTGAGATCCCCCTGACATAGGAAAGATTTTAAATTCAAATTAATTAATTGTGAGGAAATGTTATTTGTATCGGTTAATATAAAAGCCGTATAAACAGACACTAAAAAAACTGCTAATTCTGAAAGTACTTTACCAAACGAAAGCAGAAAATATAGCATTAACAGTAAAGTAAACATGCAGAAGTTTACCATCAACAGTAATGTAAAACATGCAGAAGTTTACCATCAAAAATAAAGTAAAACATGCAGAAGTTTACCATCAACAGTAAAGTGAAACATGCAGAAGTTTACCATCAACAGTAATGTAAAACATACAGAAGTTTACCATCAACAGTAAAGTAAAACATGCAGAAGTTTACCATCAACAGTAAAGTGAAACATGCAGAAGTTTACCAGCAAAAGTAAAGTAAAACATGCAGAAGTTTACCATCAACAGTAAAGTGAAACATGCAGAAGTTTACTATCAACAGTAAAGTGAAACATGCAGAAGTTTACAATTAGAAAACTTCATAATCATCTAAACGAATTATCGATAAGTATTCTTACCAACAATACTAAAATGCCTCGACTTTTTCCCACTTTTTCAGTAACAATATTCACGGTAACAAACAACTTTATAATGTGTAACTATTGTTATTGAAATCCAATGACATTAAACTGATCTCTAAAGAAATGGGGCTTTCGTTTATAAAGAGTTAAACATGAGTAACAAGGTAATTTAGGGCATGAATAGTAAAATCAATACGAAAATAAAACTTT